GGGGTCGGTTTCCCAGAAATGACCTTTTACTTGCCCTGGCAGACGAGAGTACAGGTTTTTTATGTACGTCGTAATGATTGGTGGAAATCCATTTCTCTCCATTTGGTAGTAGATAAGCTCGTGTTCCACTGAACCAAAAGCGTCCGCCAGGTCAAACCACGTAATGTGCACTGTACGGCGGTTCTTCCTGGCATGTGCTATTATCTCCCTCATGACTTGGACATGTTCAACACAGCCGTTAATACCCGTTAGGAATGCCTTTTGTGTCTCCGGGTCTATCAGTCCATTGCAGGTCATGTAGTTTGCCCATCTCTCCGAAAGTATTTGGTGGAAAATCTTCGAGACGCAGCACGTAAGGCAGATCATCCGGAAGTTTTCGCCTGCCTCTGGACTTCCATCTTTGTGTAGAAGTGACACATAACAGGATGACCATGATGTCGGTGGATCCCCTGATGCGACCAGTTTTGAGAACAGTGTACTGAGAAGCAGGTGGCAGGCTGGCAGGTGTTTGAGGTGTCCATACATTATACCGTCTGGGCCAGGTGCAGATGTAGAACAGCGTTTAGATAAGATTCCCTTAAAGTCTTTCGGCCTTATGGGTAACATGTCAGAAGTAGTCTCGAGCGTTTGATCTCCCACAGGCAAATGGGAAAACCAAAACAGTTTGTTGAAGTCAACACGGGTTGGGTTTGAGTCTTTGTTGTTGTAGTACTCATTTACATAATCAAGAGAGGATGCTGGTTTAATCGGGGGGATATCAAGCTGACCTTTTGCGCATTTTGCAGCAAACTTCCAGAAGTTCTTGTGATACTCCTTCCCTTGATGTGCTGCCGATTTTGTAGTTTCCTTTCGTTTTTGCTGTCGTTTCAAGAAGGAGTATGTTTTGATTGCGTCACGGAATGCTTTGTAATCTTCAGGTGTTGTGTCTCTGAATGCCTTCTTACGAAGCTTGTTTTTCAGACGTTTTACTCGTGGGAGAGACTGCGGTTCGTGACTAATGTAGGCTTCTGAGTGTTGTTCTTCTGTGTTCTGGCTGCTGAACTCTGGTTTACTTGACATGAAGTCGCACAAGATGTCGCTGAAGCCCTCCCCAGCTAATTTCGGGGATATTTCGTTTGAAGCGAGTTCGTGGTGTAGTGGGCCGAGAAGAGTTTTCACATCCTTATTATATTCCGTCCAGGAATCTGTAGACAGTAAAGGAAGTTTGAAGGACAAGAATGCGTGAGTACCTGAGGTAGCGACACTTATCAGCATAATCAGCCACGCCCAGGTGCTGGTAGCGCCATGTTGGTCCTGGGGAGGGTGTCGTTGGCAATGTTTCAAAGCGGCAGATTTGGCACAGTGATAACAAGCAGGGAGTCCTGAGTAGTCCATGGGCCAGGTCCCCAAAAATGACAATTTGTTACCAAACAGAGGGACAAAGGATGACTTAGTTTTTAGAAAGGTTGGGTCCTCTAGTTAATCATTATGCATGATAACCTTGCAGAGTGGCAGCTTTGACCTTGTTATCTGACCTTGAACTTTGACCCTGCACGAACCATGTCTTTTTTCTACTTTAATGCAAAGGGGAGTGGCAAATAATCAAATATGGATGTTTTTGAGATTGAAACTTAGTGGACTAATAAATCAGAAACCAAGGATTACAAAAATGTCAATTTTTGTTCCGATATGTCATTTCTAAGAGAAGTTATGAGCTTTTGAAATTCGATTTTTCGGTAAAAATTGGTAAAAAAATGGAATGTTTACTTTTCAAAACCTGTCAAATATACAGATTGCATTTTCGAGCCTGGTTTATGAATTCATCTGATTTGTTACACTTTTCCCTACATTTTAAGCTTTAAATCGTAAAAATCCATCAATCCAATCTGGAGATATGAGTATCTAAAAGTTCTATTCCCACAGGCCTTCTGTGGGGAAACCGTTGCTAGGGCCGTTGCTAAGGAGGCACTGGGCTGCTTTCCCAGTAAATATAAAATATAGTTTTCCTCAAGGTGGTCGATTCTAAGTGTCTATCGGCAAAGACGTGAAGTCAGGCCGTGAAAAGACGGTCCCGCCTGCTAGGCCAGGCAAGGCCTAAAACCCTAACTACACAACTACAGCATCGGGTAAATGTTAACATAAGCTTTTCTTTCTTACTATATTTCCCACCATTTTCCCTTATCTATGATGTCATTTTACATCATTTAGACGTTGTTCGCGGTTGCTTAAGACAAAAAAAATCCAAGAAGATATCAATATTCAATCGGACACTCCATGCCATCTTTAAACGTTTTCCCCACAGGTATCCCTCTATTTCCATTTATGAAACCGTATAAAAGTGCTCATAATAAATTTCAGCATTGTTTCTTTAGACATTATCACATGAACCAAAATGTACATTTTTGGATAGAAAAAAACACAAAATATCATTTTTTTATTCGGAAGAACGAAGTCATCAGCATTTAATAGGCAGAGATTCGTGGCAGTTGTTAACTTACATGTTTGTACCGAATTTCAGCAAAAGTGCTTCATTTATCATGGCACAGGTGTCAGAAATCTACATTTTTAGCTAAAAACACCCAAATAATGCGAAAATATTGCAAACAAATTGAGCTGCCCTCATATCTACACTCAGATACTTCACTCAAAATCGTCAGGACACAAACATTCCCCCACAGGTATCCCTCTATTGCCATTTATGCAACCGTATAAAAGTATTATCCTCTGCGTTGCTAGGGAGATGTATTTTCCTTAGCAACGGTTACCATGGAAACATGATATGAATTTCTGAAGCCCTGAAAATGGACAATTTTCCACCGATAAAAATTTTCTTCACGTTTTACATATGGTATGCACTACATTTTACTGGGAAAGCAGCCCAGTACCTCCTTAGCAACGGCCCTAGCAACGGTTTCCCCACAGAAGGCCTGTGGGAATAGAACTTTTAGATACTCATATCTCCAGATTGGATTGATGGATTTTTACGATTTAAAGCTTAAAATGTAGGGAAAAGTGTAACAAATCAGATGAATTCATAAACCAGGCTCGAAAATGCAATCTGTATATTTGACAGGTTTTGAAAACTAAACATTCCATTTTTTTACCAATTTTTACCGAAAAATCGAATTTCAAAAGCTCATAACTTCTCTTAGAAATGACATATCGGAACAAAATTGACATTTTTGTAATCCTTTGTTCCTGTTTTATCTGGCCGCCAAGTAACGTTGGAAAATATCCATATTTGATTATTTGACACTCCCCTTTGCATTATAAGTAGGAAAGGAGGTGGTCCCTATGGGGTCAAAGTTCAAGGTCAGATAACAAGGTCAAAGCTGGGCACTCAACATGGTTATCATACATTTTCAAAAAGGTGGTGGGGAGGACTATCACATGAAGGCATTCGCGTTTTGTCCCTTGATTTGGTAACAAAATCTTGTCTGGCCCATGGACTAGAGACCTGTGTTGGACTTATTCGCTGGCCGTAGCAAAGGATATAGACAGCAAAAGGCGGAGGAATGTGCCTTGACGGAATGCTTACGGTGGCCAAAGGCATACGTAGAGGAAAACACACATTAAAGACCATGCTGTAGGATCTGCGACCACAGTAGTTAATAATGCTAATAGCTACAACAGCAAGTACAAAACCTGGCTGGTGCAGCAGTTGGCGGGGTGGGAATATTGCTGAGCCCAAAAGCTCACGACTCACTGGCGAAGGCGACTCAATTCAACGAACCCATAATGATTGCAAGCTTCCAGGGAAATCGAGTCACGTGTGGCGTAGCGGTAGCTTGTTCGGCTAGGAACCGAGAGTGCCCATCGGGTTCAAACTTTACCATGTCACCGAACTTGTGCCCTTGGGAAAGGCACTTTACATGCCTTTCCTTACTTCACTTGAATGAAAATGGCTGTGGTTATACACTTCCCTCGGATAGGACGTTAAATGCAGGTCCCTTGTTTGAAGAGAGCCACACCCCACGCAAGATCCCACCGCGCCTTTAGAAAAAGAGTAGGGGCAATTCCCCGTGTGAGAGGGACCAAGTACTATTATCTGATGATTCAGTAAGGACTACAGGAAGAATAGTGTAAAGTCACACTAATGGAGATCCAGAGTTGGAGTAAGTGCATAGAAAACTGCCTGAATTGCATTCCGCTCCCAAATGTTTGGTATTTCCTGAAAAAAAAAAACTATCAATAGTACTTCTCCAGGCATTCTCCAGGCAGGCAAGTTTGGCGGCCAGCGAAGCGTTTTTAATTATTCAGCAAACAAAGGTTTTGTCGCCTGATGAACGAGATATCTTTGTTCTATTTGTGATTTTAAGGCAGTAGCTTCACCGAAGATGAATTTGTAATATATAACTTATAACCTGTTTCCTATTTTTTAAATTTGTCTTTTCTTCGCAGATATGTTAAACCCAAGCAAAGGTACATGTAAAATATATTAACAAAATAAGCAAAAATATTGACGACAACAAAGGATTCACAAGTGTTAAATATCCTGGGGTCAGTGTGTCCCCATTGGACCATGCCTTAACTCTCTGGGAAACTAAATCAACAGCGTTGCAATAGCAGTAAAAACGATTTAAGTCAATTATATAAACAAACTTATAGAAGGCATTTTGTTTCCGACAAGAAATATCAAATAAAACCTATATATACGCCTTGGGTCAGTTTTGACCCCATACGGTGTTTGGAGGGTTCAAGAGGCATAACCCCCTCTTCAGTATATATTCTTTGGAAACATTAAGGAACCTTAAAAAATTAGACATAGGCATCAGCGGTTCCTAAAAGTAAACGCCAATGCTCCGAGAAGTCTGTGAGGGAGGCTGCACAAGCCTGCTGTTGTGTATTTTTTGGGCTGCACATTATAGAACTCTACAACTAGAAAGACTATATATATGAAAATAGAAAGACTATATATATAAAAGTACCATAATTTTGTGCGTCCAAGAAGGCCAAATTGGAAAAAAATGTTTGCCATATTATTAACATTACTAAAAGTAATTAATGTCTTCTTTTTTCAGACGCAATTCTGGACACCAGACCTGTAGCCCTAAAACAAAGATCGCTTTTATAAAGGTACATAAAGCTGCAAGTAGCACTATCATGCAAATCCTACAACGGTTTGGGTATCTGCGGAAACTTTCATTTGTGCAACACAGAACCGCAGATGTTAACGGCTTATATCCTCATGGTTTATTATATCCCCATAGACTAATGCCACCTCAAGGGGAAAGTCACGATATACTTACTTACCATACCGTGTACGATCGCCCAAATATCGTACGTCTACTTACGCCGGAAGCCAAATTCGTCACTATACTTAGAGAACCGTTTCAGCAATTTTCATCTGCATTCGCATTCTACGGCTACAAAAGGATATTTAATATCACTGCTCCGAATCCAGTAGAGGAGTTTTTAAAAAGTCCTGCCTTTTACGATAAGTTTAAAAGACAAAGGACAAAAAATCCTATGGCGGTGGATCTAGGCTTACCTATAGACCTTTTGTCCCAGTCGCTTCAAATAAACGATATCGCCAATATCAGCAAAAACTTTATACATAATCTCTCTCGGGAATTTGACCTTGTGATGATATCAGACCACTTTGACGAATCTTTGGTGCTGTTGAGGCGTCTGATGTGTTGGGACTTAAAGGACGTTTTGTACTACAAGTACAACAACTATAATTATTCTTTAGAATATGATACGAGTTCTGTCCCACAAAGACTGCGAGACAACCATGAAGAGTGGGATGCCATAGACTATGCCCTGTACAGATACTTTAACGAAACACTGTGGAAGAAAATAGCTACTGAAGACGACTTTGCCGAGGAGCTGTCGCATTTCAAGGACGTCGAACGGAAGATGCGAATTCACTGCAACTCCGACTACTCAGTCATGGAACCCATTTTTATCTCGGAATCTCCCTGGAATTCAGCTTTTAAGATTGACTCGGAATATTGCCTATGGGCAAAAACGTTCCACTTATGTTACTATTACCTAATTAGAGACAGAAACAGCAAATACCAATACGGATTAAAGGGATCTATTGACTATGGGAAAGCTGCAATAAACGGGGGTTTCTTTTTGCCGCCATTCTGCAGCACGGAGTGTGAGAATATAAAGAAATATTGCTCTCTTAATGAGTATGTTCACCATTGCTATCTTGAAGGGTTTTTGAAAGACATACAGTCTAGTTCACAACGGATAAAGTCCCTAGGGCATGGGGGTAAGCCTATACCGCTTGGCTAGCCTTTCATACACTCTTTGCATTTGATATTGTACATGCATTGAATAAATACAAAGACATTCACTGGTGAAAAAGTGAGATTTGCCGGATCGGATTTCTATAATTTACTATTCCGAAGCCTGAAGCTAAAGGTTAAATACACTATAATAGGTCCGTAAATCATTTAATTTTGTTTGTGAAATAATTGAATAGTAAAGTATTTGTTTTCATTCACAACCATTTGGTTAACACGATTATTGCAATATAGTTTATTGATACCCAATATGTGACCTTGTAATGTCACAATAAGCGTATATGAATGTTAACTCTAATATACCCTAAAGTAGAAACAATCTTATAAATTAATGAAAGTTCGGGTGTTGCAAAAACCCCGAGTTTATTTTAAAATGATCAATGTACTAACCGAGATATGTGATATAAAATGGTTACCTAGTTCATGAAATTTGTTTAGTAACTAGCTTTAAGTATTTGTGTTTAACCCTAGTCAACATGTAATCATGTATAATCAGAGTCTTGAGAAAAGTGTACTTTAGCTCAGAGAAATATATCCAGAGCAACTATGTATGTGGACTTTGCAAATAAGTAAAACTCTAGGGGACATTTAAACCTTAATCATTTACTCCAACAACTGAATATAATTTTGGATACGGTAGGGCGTTTCAACTACTTTTTGTCAGTTTCCCCAGCCTAGATAGCGGATTGATTAAAAATGCGATTAAGGATTTACATAATTTCAGACATATAAGAAGTTATGTATACAGCTAAATATAACTTTGGTCCACAGGACACAATTCTTGTTAATATTCGGAGAATTATTGATGGATTTTGCAATGTGGCTAAGGTGATTTTCAAATCTACAAAAGGCTTATGGATAATGGTTGGAAGAGACAGACACCGACAAAAACAAGTTGTTTATCTTAAAGTATTATTGAACCATCTTGGCAAATAAGACTATTGTAGAATAAATTCATTAAAAAAATGTAAATGAGATCCTAGATTTCACGTTATTTACCCGATTCTGTTGAAATTTTCAACGCGCCAAAATAATAAAAAGAAATATTATTGACCATGACGGAATTTGTGTTTTTCATTATTAGTTCACTTTCTTTCCGCTTGTTCAAATGATTTCAATACGTTAGATCCTATAAATAAATTCAATATACTTAGGGGAGATAACAAATACAGTGTTTAAATAGAGAAATACAGTAAGGAATATTTAATTTTTAAAGACTAGATTAATATTTATAAAATAGTTAAACCTTTATTGTTGTCGCTGACATACATTCAGTGCGTCATTTGCCAAAAGTATATTCTGTAGAGTGACGTTATTGTCATTTGGCTTTGTTAGATATATTTGATTATTGAGTCGATAAACAATCTTCCAATCAACTAGAAAGGCCGGTATTTGCTGGGGGGCAAATGCAGCAAATGGTTTCATCACATCCCCTGCACCAAAAATGGATCCATCCCACTCTCACACAAATGGATTGTTCCTAAATCACCCCTGTCCAAATTTTGAAGTGTTCAAATAGTTTATAACCCTATGCAGCAATGGGATCTTCCAAAGCCTTCTGTTGGAACATGTAGAAACGATATTAGAACCAGTGTTCTATTTAGAACCGCCATTTGTGGATTTGAGGATCAAGCTACAATCGCTGTTTCACAGAACGTAAGGTAAATAAAAGTATTAAGTATTAAGTGAAAGTATGAAAGGTAAATAAAAGAATAGTGAATACTATAGTCTAAACATTTGGTGCCAAGCCACCCTTATGCCTCATTTGAGGTTATTATTGTTTTAGCGCACAGTTTTGACAAAAAATAGCAAAAAAGCCTATCTTATATACTTTTTAAGTGACACACGCCAAAAGCATAAAAATATTCTGTGGGCTTGTATCCTATGATCTCCCATACCTAAATTCAGGGCTTTTAGTTTTAATATTAGGACACAGGTGACAAAATACATTTTTGGTCAGGAAAAAGCCAAAAAGTCCTTTTTTCCACAATTTTAAAGTGGAGTATGTCACAATCTTGAATGCTGTTTTGTAGAATATGTCCAAGGTATCCCTATACCAAATTTCAGGTCATTTGGTTTTAGTACCAGGGCTCCAGATTCCAAAATGTATATTTTTTTTGCATGAAAACGGCCAAAAAAAACAGAATTTAAAAAAATGATTGGTATTTGGCTCTACCTTCATGCAAAATTTTATGGCATTCAGCCCCAAAATAAAGAAACTGAATCAATCTAACAAGATGCCAGGAGAAGGAAGAGAAGAAGAAGAGAGGAAGCAATATGTTTTCACCACGTTGTAGTCGAGAGAGTCCCGTGCTTCCATTTTTTTGTAATGGCTGTCCTGTGGCACACTCTGTCAAATGCCTTGCTTAAACAGTCAGTACAAGGCTACCCTAGACAGAACAAAGGCAGGAGCTGATTTGCAGACTATGGTCAGTTTTAAACATTCATATGTTTCTCTACTGGTTTCAGTGAAACAGTTTCGAATCCGGATACTTGTTACAAAGCCACATAATCAAGAAAATTAAATTGCAACCTTCAGTTTGTAAAAACAACATTGATTAAATTCCAACCTTCATATCACCCTGTCAAAGTTTTACCCAGAAACATATAGGATGCCCTTACTTTATAATGCTACTTGTAGCTTTACTTCAAACTTCACAACTGAATTAGCTTTTAGTAGAAATCCTTCAATCAGTGACTGTATTTTTGTAAGGTAGATTACGTACCTCCAAATTTTCGGTGTCGACTGTACACCTTTCTCACGGAGTGACCTAGTCTCGCGAGAACACGAGGCTAGGTCGAGACTTGTGTGGATCTTCTGACCTCCCCCGCCTCCTTGCGGAGAATTAGCTTTATCAGCTTTATGTCAAAATATGGCAAAAATGCGGTGCTTACTTGCTGTCGGATAAACCTGTATTGACTTAAGCTCTGCATGTAGAACTGTGCATGTAACTGCCAGCAAAAACCTTAAGCCAGAACATGGCAAGCCAGAGTTCTCTTCTTCGCAAGCTCCGAAGAGATCCATGTTTCCCGTCTCACGGACAAATACACACAAGTAGGGTAGTGAGCTCACCACACCTCAGCACGGTCGGGAATTAACACGATTACTCAGTAACACGATTAACTCTCTACACACTGTTGTTCTCATAACATGTACATACTTATACAGGAGCCTAATACAACAGCAAGTCATGTGCTGCGAGCTGGCGACCTGTTTTACCCTGGTTACCAATTGTTTAGCCAAAGTCGGGCTGGTCGGTTAAACCAAGGCTCTGTCCAGCAGATGTTGAACGCATCCTGACTTGTAACTAACTTCTAAACGGTGAGGTTCAAATGCTCATCGTCGTGATCAAGGTGGAAACACAGTAGGGATTTCCTCATCCTCGTCCGTGATGCTAGGGGGACTTCCAAGAAGAGTCTTGAGGTGGTTGTACCAGTTCTCAATCCTTTCCTCCTGAGCATTTCCTTCTAGTTGACCTTTTCTAGTAGCCTTTCTATAAGTGATGTCATTAATCCAGCTGTGTCCATGCTTGCAGTTCATTTTTCTCCACCTCTCTGGTCCTCTTCCTCCACTGTAATGTAGGCTTCTTTTATTTCTTCTTGGTCTGTCTATACTCTTGTCTGTTTGCTTCGGTTGTGTTCTCCTTGTACCTCCCATACACTTCGTTTAGGTCGTGTCTGACCTTTGCCACCCCCAGGGGTCTTCTGAGTGCCTTGCCCTCCTTCCTCTCTTCCTGAGTGCGACCACTTTTTGTGCTGCCTTCTCGGTAGTTTGATGAAACTCTCGTACATTTCCGTAGCAGATTCGTCGATATCCTTCAATGGTGGAACCTATTGTGCACCTTGATCATGTACTGGTCCTGTCGGTCACTCCGGGTCTTGAACAGGTTCCAGTCGTACTGCCTTTTCCTTGACTCTGCTTTCTTCTTCCCCTAGCTCAGTCTGAGCAAGGACATTATACTAAGACAACATAAACGGGAGGGAATGAATTGTGATGACGTGGCAGAACAGGCTAGTGAGTATCTAAGTATGTTAAATATAAAGTACAAGAGTAACGGAGCTGGTTCAATATAATAAAAAGACAGTCTCTTCGCAACAAAGGAGGTAGAAGTGTGTGTGTAAAGGAAACAGCATGTAGGATTAACACGCAGCTGTAAGTTCATGTTCAGAGGATGTAAGAGTCACGGAAGTACAAACTGATGACGACTTTAGCTAGGTGGTAACGACTTCAGGCGATGACGACTTATATTAGGCGGTAACATCTGAGTTCGAAGTGCTCGAGAGGTCGTGTCCGGTCTATGCGCTTACCACAAGACGAGCTACAACTCTGACTTCAGTCCTGAGTAGGTGATTCAGTCTTGACTGGGGCGATGAACCGCACAGCATCAGTCCCAGGTCCACACACATGGCTGCCACTGCAGGTTACGCTTCGCTGAACCAAAGTCACGATGAAATACACAGTACTACGAAGCAGTCCGGTCATGCTGGTTCGTTCATGAAACTCGACGGGATAAAGTACAACATCCCGCATGCTGGGGTCCCCTATCCCTACCTCGACACGGCGTCAACGCGTCTACATAACGAGGGATGGAACGTCCTATAGAACTTCACGTTCATCCGCACAGCGGATGGAACTTCGTGTTGGAACTTCACGTTCATTCACACGGGGGATGGAACATCGGTAAAACTTCAAGTTCACCCACACTTGGATGCAACTAATGGTGGAATTTCCCCTTCATCCACACGGGGGAACCGATGGAACTTCACTTTCGACTCCCGGGGAAATCTGACGTTCACGGGAGTACAGTGAAACTCACGTTCAGCCGCACGGGGGGTGGAACTTCCCATCAACAAATGTGTCCACAGGGGGACTACATTCAACAGTCATGTGTCTGCACACAGGGAGCACATCTCAATTTAACGTTACGTACATACTAGTAACCTGTCAGGACATTGGGAGGGGGGTAAAGGCAAAAAGGGAAGGAATGATGGAGTCGGGGGGATTGAACAAGGAGGGGTAGGGACTGAGGAGGAGGACGTTTCCAGGAACATATCAGGCCATACATGGGTGGGTATAAGTCATTGTACACATGTCAAGAGTGGGGGTTGGGTAGTTAGGGGGAAAACGGGATCAGGGGT